AAAAAAAAAAAAAAAAAAAAAAAAAAAAAAAAAAAAAAAAAAAAAAAAAAAAAAAAAAAAAAAAAAAATCTAAAAAGAACCTTCCTAAAGCTACAAAAGAGTGTTCAATTTTTAAAAAAGAATATTCTATGGCATTGATTAGTTCACTTATCAATTCAAGATTGAAAGCCGACAAAAATGTTCCAATTTAATATTCACACGCCTTCTTTATACAATTAATTAATCAATTTTACCTGATAAGTTTATAGTTCAGTAAATAAAATTTTAATTATTATTATCGTTAAAGTTGATTTTGGCGGGCGTTCTACCACTTGCAACATATACATATGCGTATGCATATGCGGTTCTCTCGTCGTGAAAGAAACAATGAAAGAAAAGTCTCGAATCAAGCTTTGCTGTTGCTTGTATAGCTTTCTAGAGCAGAGATCTAACAACACATTTGTTAGAGCGTGTCGAGTTAAATCAACTACACAGAAAATAGATCCCGTCTCCTAGCTTTCTAAAATGATGAACATGAAGCATGTATGGTCGCGGTACTGTGAATCCTCTGAATCCCATTTTGGTTGCTTAGATCTCGCTATGTTGTGCCTTGAGATGACCGTCTCTTGTCTCCATATCGATGGAGAATCTACTCCGAGCTTATTAATAAATAAATTATTTAGAAAAAAAAATTGGGTAAATCTAATGTGAATTTAAATGGGCAAACACAAGTTGGTTTAATAGCATATTGATTTACATTACTTGTTGAACATTTTTCCTATTTTTCCCAAACTCTGACATATCTGACAAAAAGGTTGACTAGGATGCCACCTAATTATAAAAACAATAAATTGCCACGTCACATTTTGTTGAAAAAAATATGCTATGGCCCATCTCCATTTATTTTTCTAACTTTAACGGAAACAAATTCATTTCTATATTTAATACATTTATGAATTTAAAAATATATTAAATAGGTTAAAAAGATATAAATTTAAAATTTTAAAGAATTTTATTCGGATTTAACATTTTTTTTAATAAAAAAGTGAAAATTGATAAATAAAAAAAAAAAAAAAACTATAAAGGGTATTGATGGAATTTTAGAAAATAATAGTCAAACAAAATTATTTTATTTTCCCATCAATATATGCAAAGTTAGAAATGCATTTATTTCAAATCTCACCCACTTTGATAAATAAATAATTATTTATTGCTGTGTGAAATTTAATTTAAATGTGTTTTTTTTTTTTACTGATGCGGTAATAATAGTTAATTTCTACCATTGAGTTAATTTAGATACATGTAACTATATAATGATAAATATTAATATATCTCTACACACCTCTTTTAGCTCTAAAAAAACCATTTTTTGTCTTTTTATTTTAAAATAATAATAATAATATTTTATTTTACTATTTGAAATTAATAATAAGAATTTAAAAAATAAGAAAATAAGTCCATTTCCTTTTAATTCAAAATTATTCAAGTCTTTTGTTTTCTTTGCATATGAAGCAAAGAATTTAAGGTATTCTGGAAAAAAACAATTCCCTTTTAAAGAACAGTTGCTACAAATTAGGTGGAAGTAGGATGAACAGTGTCTTATCTGCAGATTGCATAAAAATCATATAGAAAAAGAAAAAGGAAAATTATTAAAAATGGGATTTGGGTTTGATTTTGATCCATTAAGAAGAACCATCACCATGATTCAGACGTTTGTTTGGGTTATTTTATGCCCTTAAATTCAGCCTCTTCCAACTCATCAGTGGTGAAGAAATTGCTTTGATGAGGTCAGTTTTTTTTTTTTGTTGTTGGTGCGTTTGAACTTTTGCAATCGTGCGTGTTTGTTGAGTCGAGCACTTTCGCCACTCAATTGCTCTTTAATTGTTCTTCAACAGTTTTCTCACAAAATCAGAATCCTATGAACCAACCCAATATATCAAAATATCTCTAATTTCCTCTCCGTTTCTGGGTTCGTCTGTTCACTACTTGTTCTGTTTTGATTCCACTTCTTCTTTCATTCGTTTTTGTGTTGTTTGTTCATCGTTTTTTTCAGGGTTTTTCTTCTTGCTAAGTTCGTACCCCCTCTGCATTGGTGGGTCCGCCATTGAAGACACTATACTTGTTTGGTTTTATTTTGAATTTGGCGGAACGGTGAGGGTGTTTAGTCATCTGGGTCGTCTTTATTTCGCTTTAATTTTAATGGGTAACGAGTGTTTTGAAGCTCTGAGATAGCCATTGATGGATCTGGAGAGTGCTATTGGGGGTCACCCAATCAAGGTACTGAAAATGGCGGGCTAATCGATTCCTCTTCTCCTTCTTTTTTTCTTTGTTGTGTTGATTTTAATCGTTTTTGTTGCAGAAAAATTCATGGAGAGCTGTTTTAACTTTGGCTTATCAAAGCTTGGGGGTTGTTTATGGCGATTTGAGCACTTCCCCTTTGTATGTTTACAAAAGCACTTTTGCTGAGGATATAAAACACTCTGAAACCAACGAGGAGATTTATGGAGTTCTTTCTTTTATCTTCTGGACTCTCACGCTCATTCCTTTGATTAAATACGTCTTTATTGTGCTTCGAGCTGATGATAATGGCGAAGGGGGAACTTTCGCTTTGTACTCATTGCTCTGCCGCCATGCCCGAGTTAGCTCCTTGCCCAATTGCCAACTTGCAGATGAGGACCTTTCGGAATATACAAAAGATGGGGTGGATTTAATCAGCAAGAACACTTGTAGGTCGAGATTGAAATCCACGTTAGAGAAGCACAGAGTGTTGCAGAGGGTTTTGCTTGTTCTTGCTTTGATTGGCGCTTGCATGGTGATTGGAGATGGAGTTCTTACACCTGCAATTTCTGGTACTGTAGATTCTTAATCTTGTTCAAACTTTATATGAATTTAGAGTTTGAATTGATGAAACTTTCTCGTTTTGGGTCTTTCATGGCAGTTTTCTCTGCGGTTTCTGGGCTGGAACTCTCCATGGCTAAAGAACACCATCGCTGTAAGCTTCTCTGCTACTCTTTTCACTTGAATCTTCATGGAAAAATTGATGAACCCAGATGGTTTCTTCTGGTTTTCTGAACATTCTTCTGAAAAACTGCAAGTGTTTCCTTCTTTAGCTGTACAAATCTGAAGAGCTTTTTGTTATAATTGTTTATTATTGAAATAGTGGATGAGCCTGGATTTCATTGTTTAATAATTTCACAAATTATTGTGGGTCTCTGCATATATGATTGATTTACAAACACCCCAGTTCCAATCATAGTCGAATCACTATCATGTGAAGAAAAGAACCGAAAAGGTAAGGAAAAGAGGTGTTAAATTAATACTTTTACTGGAAGTTCTTGAACTTTTTAAATGTTATTTGGCTTGCTGCTATAGGATTCATGTCTTTGGTCAAATCATTTACCTTCTAAGTCACCATTGAAGTATCCATATCACCCGACTTCTACGAACTCTTTTGTTGTCGTAGTAATGCTAACTGGGAGGTTTCATCTTTCTGGTAGCGGGTTTTTGTCAATCACTCATTATTGTTGATGGGTCCTTGTAACTTATACCAGTAAACCTTTATTTTCTGTTTGTGAGTTGCTGCTGTGTGAGATTCCACGTTGATTTGAGAGAGGAACGAGTGGCAGTGAGGACGCTGGGCCCCGAAAGGGGGTGGATTGTGAGATCCCACATCGGTTGGAGAGGAGAACTCGTTTTAAAACCTTGAGAGGAAGCTGCTAGTGGTAGGCTTGGGCGGTTACATGCTGATTGCTTACTTGAATAATTACTAATTTTTCCTTGACGAACTATTTGGTTGTATTACTTACCGTCTGCTTCGACTCTTCTCCTCGACGTTGTGGGGTCTCCTTTTGCTATTGAGGGACCTATTCACTCTACATGGCAACAGAGTAAAACATGAAAGTCTTAATAGTTTAATGCTTCTGCAGATGTCGAAGTCCCGGTTGCTTGCATCATATTGGTAATACTGTTTGCAATTCAACATTATGGAACCCATCGAGTCGGGTTTCTGTTTGCACCGGTCGTGATTACCTGGCTCCTGTGTATCAGTGCCATAGGGTTGTACAATATCTTCCACTGGAATCCTCATGTTTACAAAGCACTCTCCCCATATTATATGTACAAGTTTCTGAAGAAGACTCAAAGGGGAGGTTGGATGTCCCTTGGCGGGATCCTGTTATGTATGACAGGTAATGGGTAATGAGAATGGCTTGATCCGCAGTATTTTTTCTTCTCTTTGTCCTTCGTTATCTGAAGCTGCCTGTTCGATATTCAGGTTCGGAAGCAATGTTTGCTGATCTCGGGCACTTCTCGCAGCTATCTATCAAGGTCATTTTTTCAACTTTGCAATGCATGCTACTTTTCGTAATTTCGACTATGAAAATGGTTGTAGAAATGTAGCAATGAGCTTATGATCATTTTGCTCCGACTCAAATCTTTGTCGTGTTTAAAATTATCTGCTCCGACTCAAATCTTTATAACAGAAAGCTGTTCTACTGCAGATTGCTTTCACTTTTGTGGTTTATCCAGCTTTGGTACTGGCGTATATGGGACAAGCTGCTTATCTTTCTCAACATCACGGTGAGGAAAGTAACTATCGAATCGGATTTTACGTGTCGGTTCCTGGTAGGTGTACAAATGTGGTGCATCATAGACAAGTGAACATATATGAATGTCAAAAGAGCTCTAACTGTGTAATTTTACGTTTCAGAGAAAATAAGATGGCCCGTTCTTGTGATCGCCATTTTAGCTGCGGTCGTAGGAAGTCAAGCTGTCATTACTGGGACTTTTTCGATAATAAAACAGTGCTCGGCATTGGGTTGCTTCCCGAGGGTCAAAATCGTTCATACCTCCTCGAAAATTCACGGTCAGATTTATATACCAGAGATCAACTGGACTTTGATGCTCTTATGTTTAGCTATTACAGGTGGCTTTCGAGACACGAAACGCATGGGGAATGCATCAGGTAATCTAGTTGACTTATGAAAGCGCTTTTGAAGTCGGGTTTTTTTTTCTCTAAGTCTACTGGGAATAGTCAATATACTAATCTCGAGCGCATGTCTCCTCCAAAATCCGAACTTCTACGTTTCGACTAGGCTGATTATCGTCATGAACTGATCTTTGTGTCGTTTTTACTAACAGGTTTGGCAGTGATAACTGTTATGCTGGTGACAACCTGCCTAATGTCTGTGGTCATCATCTTGTGCTGGCATAAAAGCTTTCTCTTTGCCATTGCCTTCATACTATTTTTCGGGTCGATTGAATCACTCTACTTCTCGGCCTCTCTCATCAAGTTTCGAGAAGGGGCGTGGGTTCCCATCGCGCTCTCGTTCATCTTCCTACTAGTCATGTATGTATGGCATTACGGGACACGCAAAAAATACGAGTTTGATGTTCAAAACAAAGTCTCAATCAACTGGCTCCTAGGCCTAGGTCCCAGTTTAGGCATAGTACGAGTACGCGGGATAGGCCTCATATACACCGAGCTCGTCACAGGAATCCCAGCCATCTTCTCCCACTTCGTAACAAACCTCCCTGCCTTCCACCAAGTCCTAGTCTTCCTCTGCATCAAATCCGTCCCAGTCCCACACGTGAGACCAGGAGAGAGATTCCTAGTAGGAAGAGTAGGGCCAAAAGAATACCGTCTCTACCGATGCATAGCACGATATGGGTACCGCGACATCCACAAGGACGGCATGGAGTTTGAAAAAGACCTGGTATGCAGCATTGCAGAGTTCATCAGGTCCGAGAAGGTCGAAAGCAGTGTGAAAGTAGAGGACGTAGAAGAGAACGAGAGAATGACAGTGGTCGGGACATCGTCAACGCACGTAGATGGAGTAAGAATGTGTGAAGATGAAGGGGAAAGAGCAGAAACATCAGAGGTGAGAGAGATAAAATCACCCAAAAAAGTGAGGAAAAGAGTGAGGTTTCATGTACCAGAGAGGCCAGAAATGGATGAGGAGGCGAGGAGGGAGCTGGAAGAGCTGATGGAGGCAAGAGAGGCAGGAATGGCATTCATAATGGGGCATTCATATGTGAAGGCAAAGAGGGGATCAGGTTGGGTTAAGAAAGTGGTGATAAATTATGGGTATGACTTCTTGAGAAGGAACTCAAGAGGGCCAAGCTATGCTTGGAGTGTGCCTCATGCTTCTACTTTAGAGGTGGGGATGATCTACCAAGTTTGATATCACTTTGTGCATTCTCTTCTACTCTCTCTCTCTCTCTCTCATTGTATATAATAAAACCATTTTTGGACCTCACTTCACTTGCTTACTCTCAAAAACTTACAACCTTCCCCCCAATAAAACGAAATAAAATGGGTTATTTATCTGCTTCCTGTGGGTTAAACCGTGAGATCCCACATCCATTGGAGAGGAGAACGAGGAATTGTTTATAAGGGTGTGAAAATCTTTTCTAGACATGTTTTAAAAACCTTAAGAAAGGGAAAACTCAAACAAACAATATTGCTTGAGCCGTTACATAAATTGTACGAAAATTCAACAGTTGCCCACTAAATTTTTTGGGCGATTCCATTTTAGCCCAAAACGGTATATTTTATTAATATTGTTTTGAATCTCATACAAAATTTTTTGTCGTAAGATATTCTATTAACAAAATAATCTGAATTTTATTATTTTTGGGTAATTTTTTACCATTTTGAGGTGTTTTGATATTTAATTTAAATGTCTTATTTTTTCAAGTTAGTGGTGTTGGTCGATTTAGTTAGGTCGAGACATTTTTTAAGATTCAATTCAATTGTTCCGTTTCTAGAGTTATTTATTCAAATTTTCGTACTAAATAAAAGTGAAAGGTTAATTAATAAAATATTTATTTATTTATTTTTAAATATTTAATTAAGATTCGCAAATTTATTTTTAAAATATATCCTGAAAATGCTTTTCTAAAAATATTTAAAAAGAGTTGTTGGAGAATAAATAATAAAAATAATAACTATAAAATTAAATAGAAACAAATAAATAGAGGTATATATAATTATATTTTAAATTAAAATTAACAATAAATTATAATTTTAGAATTTATAAAATTTTTATTTATTTGAGAAACTAAGACAGTTTTAAGAAAATGAGCGAGGAAAAATGTTTTTCTAATAAATAATTTAAATATTCTTTCAAATTAAACTATAAAAGGTTCTCAGCGCCACAGTTTCGCGGCTCTTCTTCCAGAGCTCTCGTTCTGCTTCTCTCTTCCTTCTTCGGGGGATTCTGTCTCATGGAATCTCAATCTCATCAGAACTCAAAACAATCGCTATAATCCATTTCATCCGCATGAATCTCCTTCTAAACTTGATTCTCTTGTCGTCATGTTAGCCGTTCCGACGACTTTTTTCTACTCTGTTTAACCGAGCATAAAAAAATGGCGAAGCGTTGGGTCCTTTTGGCGGCCATTTTCGCGGTTCTTGTTTGTGGTTTTTCTTCAGTTTCTGCCACACACACAAGTACGAGCTGTTTCTCAAACCTCGCCTCTTAATTTCTCTTATTGTTTTTCAACTCTGTTTAGGCATTTTCGTTTCGTTGCAGATTTTGTTGCTGGGGTTTTGTCCAAGGCGGTTTCGGCTCTTGTGAATTGGATATCGGCGATCACCTCGGCCTCTAGTACTGGTTTGATTCGTTTCCTGAGCCCTAATTGTGAGAGTTTTCTAAGTGTTTGATTGATTTGTGGGGTTTTATTTTGGTTGATTTTTTAGTGGTTTCTACCCGCTCGATGATTACATTTGAGAAGGGATATGTTGTTGAGACTATGTTTGATGGTAGTAAGCTGGGGATTGAGCCTTACTCTGTGGGGGTGTCTCCTAGTGGGGAGCTTCTGATTTTGGATTCTGAAAATAGTAACATCCACAAGATCTCTATGCCATCTTCTCAATGTAAGCTCTCTTTCTGCCTTAATTTATCACTTCATTTGTGCTGGTTAGAAATTTGGGGTAAGAATTTGAATCTTTGGCCTGCTAAGGAAGATTACTAATGTCCTAATTGCTGGGTGCTTCGCTTTTTATAACATTTCTGTCATATTATTTTTCCTGTTTCAGTTCTTATACGTTTAAAAACGTCTTAGATAGTAATAATATAATGACATGATGAGACATTGAGTGTATGCAATCATATCATGTATTGATGTCTCATAGAAGTGCATGAACTAAAATGAAATTGGTATAGAAATTAGCATTATAAATTTTGTATTCTGATAGCTATGTTACTAGTCAGCTTGCTTGTTCTTTGTCTAGGCTTGTGGTAGCTGCTCGTACTTTGCTTCAAACTTTGGACATCTCTTCTTTTCTGTTCTCTTTTATTAGTTTTTTCAACAGATTCTTTGCCTTCTTTTGGTATTTGTTGATTCCAAATGTTGATCATATCACTTTTACTTTGCTTACAAGCTTTTGTTTAGCAGAAGACTCTACTTTTTAATTGGAAAACTATCTTTTTCAAAATTTCTGCCTTCTAATTAATGATCTATAACTCTTTAGTTAGACCAATATTGAGCTTCATTAGCACTTAGTCCTTTAGCTTTAGTTACCACGATTCCAGGCTTTGACGTACTTAAATCGATTGATTGAAGTGTACTTTTCCCGTATCCAATATTTGCAAGCTTCGTGGAAAAGACATGTAATGTCTTATTTGGTTCTTAGACCACTCCATTTCACTTTGCGTTTCAAAGATATTAGTTTTCCCCATTGATCCTTCGGACCCACTTACATGTAATCAATAATTTTAGCAGCCTATTGCATAACATTAAAATATTTGGTATTTAAAAGTTCGTGGGACATTTATATTAGGTATGTGGACAATCTGACAACAAACTCATGAGTTATTTAGGCATTCAGCTACCCGACTTTAATGTTGAGTATTATTAAGAGAAGTCTCACATTGACTAATTAAGAGAAATATCACGAATTTATAAGCAAGGAACACTGTTTCGATTGGTATGATGCGTTTTGAGAAAACCAAAAGTAAAGTTATGAGAGCTTATGCTCAAAGTAGACAATATCATACCATTATGGAGGATCGTGGTTCCTAACATGGTATTAGCCTGCTCTTAACTTAGTCATATCAATAGAATCTTCAAGTGTCGAGAAAAGAAATTGTGAGCCTTGAAGGTGTAGTCAAAAGTGACTCAAGTGTCGAACAAATGATGTATTTTGTTCAAGGGCTCCAGAGAAGGATTCGAGCCTCGATTTAAGGGGAGGCTGTTCGAGAGCTCCAAAGAAGGAGATCTTAGGGAAGGCTCTATGGTGTACTTTATTCGAGGGGAGGATTGTTGAGGATTATTAAGAGGAGTAGTCTCACCTTGACTAATTAAGAGGAAGATCATAAGCTTATAAGTCATGAGACATTATGCTTAAAGTGGATAGTATCTTACTATTGGGGAGGGTCGTGGTTCCTAATATTGTATTTACTCGTGGTTCCTAATATTGTATTTACTTAATTCAATAAGGAGTCAAAACAGCTTAATATATTATTACCATGATTGCATGACAAGGCAAATTTTATACCCTATTTTTTAAAATTTTGGTTTTTTTCTAGTATTGAATGCAAATAGCATAGTTTTTGTATTCAACTCGACCAATCAATGGCGTATCCTGTAAACACTTCTACTTTTCACCTTACTAAATGATATGCCATTTAGTTATAACTCATGATTTAGATTTGATAACTCAGGCTGTGTAGAATTGCATTTCCTAATTGGCTATTCTAGTTTCTTCTTTTGCTGAAAGCAAGAAACCATATCAGTTTGCAGGCCCCAGCTGTTTGCAGGATCGTCTGAAGGATACTCTGGACATGTAGATGGAAAGCCAAGGGATGCAAGAATGAGCCATCCAAGAGGGTTAGCTGTGGATCAGAGAGGAAATATTTACATTGCAGATACAAAGAACAAGGCCATAAGAAAAATCAGTGATGCCGGTACTTTCCTAAATCATTCTTGTTCATACCAAATAATCTCCACTCGCATTTTTTAAGATTCAACATCTTGCCTTTGGGATCTGTTAATTGTATATAAGTCGTTTATAGTTTTTTTGCAGGAGTTACGACTATTGCTGGAGGAAAATGGAGGAAAAGTGGCCATATTGATGGTCCCAGTGAAGAATCAAAATTCTCAAATGATTTTGATGTGGTTTATGTAGGAAGCAGCTGCTCACTTCTGGTAGTCGACAGAGGAAACCAAGCAATTCGGGAGATTCGACTTCGTGCCGAGGATTGTACCGACGAGTTTGATGGTAGCTTCCTCCTAGGTACATTGTATCCAAAACAAATCAACCATGGATGCCATTTTTCTCTCATATTCAGTAATATCTTTACTATGTTCTGTTATTGTAGGGATGGCTCTGCTGACTGCAGCTATGCTTTTGGGATACATGTTGGCACGTCTTCAATTTTGGGTGTTGGCCGCGTTTTCTTCTAAAAATGTATTGTTTTTACAAGATAAACAATAGCTTTATAGTCTTATCGATAATGTATAGACTAAACTATCCATCAACATTAGTATTTTCTGATATTTTTACAAATGTTTCTGTGAGATTCCACGTCGATTGGAGAGGAAAACGAAACATTTTTTATAAAAGTGTAGAAACCCCTCCGTAGCAGACACATTTTAAAAACTTTGAGGGGAAGTCCAAAAGGAAAAACCCAAAGAAGACAATATCTACTAGCGGTGGGCTTGGGCTCTGAGCTATATTGCTAAGAGGGAGAGATTGGCTCGTCTATTCATTAACGTAGAACCAACTTTCTGTTGCAGCTAAACTTTTTCCTATGACTTGCAGGACTCAAGAGCTGACTCGAGGGACGTTTCATCGATTCCTCCATATCGGAGGGTCGAGAAATCAATGAGGCATCCACTGATTCCCAGTGAAGAGGAAGAAGACAATCAGCCAGGAGAGAATATCATTTGTTCCCTCGGGAAGCTTTTCCTCAACACTGGCTCATCCGCAGCTGAAATCTTCGTGGCATTGCTTCTTGGAGCTAGAAGAAAGGCAGCCAACCTCCACGTCCAGCAGCATTATCAAGTAAACAAACATGGACAAGCAGGGTTGGGCATGCAGGAAAGCTTTGCAATCCCATGTGGCCGTGAACCACTGCATACAATGACTGGGATACATTACTCTTATTCGGCAACACGTCCCGAAAACGTGCAGCGTTACAGGCGCATTAGGTGCGGGGATGGTGTCGAGGAAGAACAACCATATCCAACGAGTCCAAAGGTGTGGTACAACCGGAGCAGTGAAAGAAACGAGGTTGTGTTTGGTGAAGTACAAGAAGAAGAGCAATGCTGTGTTGGAGGTGGTGGCTGTGTGGAAGGGAAATCCTTCAGCAACAACAAACATGAGAACTCTTTTGTTACAGAGAAAAAGGGAATAACAGATTAACAATTGCTTGGTTTCTCAACCTGAGTTGTATGATGTTATGAATTTACAAATTCTTTTATTAAAAACAAAAGGAATAAAAGTTGCTATTTTCAATTTTTCTTTTAAGCGGACTCTTATTAATTCAAATTATTCCACGAGCATGATTAGATCAATCATGTCAATCTTTAACGATTCTAAACATACCATCTAAACTATATAAAATTGTAAAGAAACTAAGTTCTTGACTAAAAGCAAAAATGATATCTTTTCTACATTTTCCAAGTCTCCTTTTACAAATATAATATACATAGCTCTTAGCCTCAAATGAAAATCTTTGACTTCTTTGGGACATTTCAAGAGTTGTAACTTTTGATATTTTATGATCATAATTAGCCACTATGCAAATGTAATCGATAAAAGCCTTAAAATACATTAAAAAAATATCATACATCTAGATTATCGTCCATTCAAAATTTGTAACCATGGGAAGAATAAATGAAGTTTGACTCTTCTTTCACGTGGTATGAATTGCAACATTTTGTGACAATTTAAACAACATTTTCTTCGCATTTTTCTTAAAGTTTATAGTACATGATTGATGTCTTGATTCATGTCAGAAGACATCCCGAATGAAAATGATGTTGGGAGATTGACACATTCAACTTGAACTTGAAGTAAAAAGACATCAATATGGTCCAAAAAAATATATGGTCCAAAAAAATATACATCTTTATGATTGAATTTAGAACGTTACCTATATGGTCCAAAAAATTTATGATTGAATTTAGAACGTTACCTATATTTTCCAAGCGGTTCGTTATAATTATAAAATTTATGATTGAATTTAGAACGTTACTTATAAGGTCCAAAAAAATATACATCTTTAAAATTTAATTAATTATTCAATCTGTCTTTTTTTTTTCTTTTTTGAGTTAAATGAAGAGGAGATTCATCCAAATTAAAAAATTATTTTAATATAATCAAATAAGTATAGAAAAAAGGGCTCAATAATTCAATATTTAAAAATAAAATCTTCAACCAACATGGCCATAGAAAAATACAAAAAAATTATGATTCCACTTGTATTATTGACATTTTATGAATAATAATTATTTGTACACGGTTTATTCCTTGCTATGACCTTATTTTATTTGTTTTTTTTAAATACATTATTATAAGTATCTAAATAAATTAAAAAAGAAAATCATATAAAACAAAAAACGACACTCCACCGCACAAAACCGTGTTCCTTGAATTAAATAAAAAAAAATTATATCTAATTATATTTTGAGATCTAGTGTTGGTACAAGGAATAATCTAGTGTGAATCTCGAAAGAAAATTAAAAAATTGATTCAATTATCATGATTTTAAATGTGATAATTTCTACTTTATTTATTGAATATTTTATTTAGATCGATCGAATACCTAATTATTCAAAATTATACGTAATTTATCGAATACCTTAGATTATAAATGTATTTAATTTTGTATTTATATACCTTTTAATATACTCTATGTCCAATAAATTAAAAAAATTAAAATTTTGTGAACACATTCAAAAAATATAAAAATATTTTTGAAGTAAAAAATAATTGTTATTAAAATTTATGGAATATTAGAATGAATTTAAATATTTGAAAATATAAAAATTAAAATGAGATGAAACTCAAAGTACACATCAAATACGTTACTTTTTCGTGAAGTAAAAGAAAAATATTTTTTAAAATTTAAAGAGTCGATCAAAATAAGTTATTCCATTACCTTTAAAATCCTATGGTTATTTTTCATAGTCTACTTTATTCTGCCATTCAAACTCATTTTTAACCTAAGATTGAGGGACATTCATTACATGTATTTATTGAACATTAAATTAAGTTTAAATATTTCCCCCCACCTAAAGTAAATAATAAAATTGGTAATAAAAATAATACTTTTGATCATTCTCATGTGTTCGTCTCTAACCGTATTGTTTGTCTCAAAAGTTAATTAATTAATTTAATAAAAATACAGGACTAAAATAATTTTTTTTAACGGAAACATTGAAACAAAAATTTAGAATAATGGTGAAAGTTTAAGAGTCAAAACGATTTTAGAAACGGAAGTAACCCAATTAACATAAAATTTAAACTAAAATCGAAAAAAATATGCATAAATCAATCAAATTAGGTTGGGATTTGAAAAGTAATTGATAATGATGTTTGATTGATCTAGTTGGGTAAATGCAATGCATCCTTGCAACTTGGCGGAGATGGACCTAAAATCCACTAGTTGACCATTCAATTGGAAGCGATGGGAGGGGTGGCGGGGTGGCGGCCTTCAGACCACTTCCAAATTGACAAAAACAATAATGTTCTAAATATTCAAACATATTAACTATTTTAGTGTCCAATCTTTTGTTTTTTTTTTCATAAAAGACAATTTTGATGTTGATTTGAAAAAACAAACCATCTGGGGTTGATATTATCTAAGTTTTAGGTTTTATTAAAAATGATACCAATGTGAGACTTTTGTCATGTTTCTAACAACATGTTATTTGATTTATAAAATATGTACTTAAAATTTTGTCTTCGGACTATCTAAATTATTTAAATGAAATTTGGGTTTATCTTAAGGTATCAAAATTTGTCAACGTTCGTTGATCGAGTTGAAAAGACACTGGTACTAAAACGATAAACGCTGGAAAACGTGATTCATTTCATTTGGAGATAAGATTGGCACTTTCCAAACATTAGAGGCCAAAAAAATGTGAAAATAAAACAATATTTACTTCACTAACCCATAACCCATATGAGTTCTGCCAATTATATTATTTCTTTAAGAAATGATGATAAGTTAAAATATATATATATATATTAATTAAAAAAATGACGTAATAAAAAATACCAAGTTGAGAAAATTTGAAGGAAAGAAGATTTATATGAACTCCTATTTGTTTTGTTGTTCGAAGCTGGTATCAAATATTGAATTTAGGGTATTAACCCATAGCCACCACGTTTTAATTATTCAAACTCCCAAATATTATTAAAAAAAAGTTGCCCCTCTCCCTTAATCTCTCTCTATATATACTGGCGGAGAGATTTTGGTCTTCATAATTCAAGGCGGAGAGAGAGGTGGAGAGAAAATGTTGTCTCAGTTATTGAAACCCATTAAAGCTGTCTTCAAATCAGAGCTCCAAAAGTTCATCCATAAGGATTTCCATGAGCTTGTTCAAAGGATGACTGTTATTGATACCTTTTTGTTCTTGGTAACGATTTCGTTTTTAGCTTTTTTTTTTTTTAAGGATGGTTTGGTTTACGAAGTGTTTGAATCGTCGTGTTTGTTTAATTTGTAGATCGTGCATTTTGTTGATAAACTCGGAGTTTGGCATAAGCTTCCTGTGATTTTGGGGTTGCTTTATTTAGCCATTCGTCGGCATCTTCATCAAGAATATAACTTGATCAATGTCGGGCGAACCCCGGTTGGAGTTCGGTCCAATCCGGTGGATTTCCCGTACCGAACCGCCGATGGGAAGTATAACGATCCATTCAATGAAGCTGTAGGTGCCCGAGGATCGTTCTTTGGTAGAAACATGCAGACTATTGATCAATCTAATAAGGTTTTATATCATACATACACATCATATGTTTTTGTTTAGTAAAACTCGAAACTTTAAGATTTAATTTGATAACGTTTTTGTAGCTGTTGAGCCCGGATCCTATGGTGGTGGCTACAAAGCTTCTGGCAAGAAGAAAGCTTATAGACACTGGAAAGCAATTCAACATGATCGCTGCTTCTTGGATTCAGTTCATGATTCATGATTGGATCGATCATTTGGAGGATACCAAACAGGTCTAAAATTAAATTAATAAAAATACTCTTTGAACTTTATATTTTCAAAAATATTATGTTTCAATAATACTTAAATTTTTTAAAAAAAATTAAAAAATATATATTTACGGTTAATTTTAGACAGATAAGATTAATATTTTATTTAAAAAATAACCTTACAATTTTAATAATATTTCAAGATATTTTGAATTAAAAAAAAATCATTCATACCTTCGACTTTTTTTTAAACAATTCAAAAATATTTTTATACTGTATTTAAAAAAATTTCATAAAATTTTAAAAACTAAATTAATAAAAATATCCTTAAATCTTGAGCAAGATTTACCGAAATAACCTTTTAAACTTTTAAAAATTTTAATAATATTCTTAAATTTAATGTATTTTTAAAATTAAAGAATATTGTTATTAATTTAGGCCATTTTATTCCATTTAATTACAGGTTGAGTTGGTGGCTCCACGTGAGGTTGCAAGTGAGTGCCCATTAAAATCATTCAAGTTCTTCAAGACAAAACAGGTTCCAACCGGCTTTTTCCAAAACAAAACCGGATCGATTAACGTACGAACTCCTTGGTGGTAAGAGGTTTTTTGTTTTTTGTTTTGTTTTGTTTTTTTTTTTTTAAATCACAAAAAAAAAAAAAACCATTTATTTCTGCTTTTCTGTGTTCTGATCTTCACGACCTATGGAATTGTAGGGATGGAAGTGTTTTGTATGGAAGCAATGCAGAAACGTTGGGGAAGGTGAGAACTTGTAAAGATGGGAAGCTCAAGATCGCCGACGATGGGCTTCTTCTTCACGACAACGACGGCGTTGCCATCTCCGGCGACGTTCGGAATAGCTGGGCCGGTGTCTCCACCTTGCAGGCTTTGTTCATTAAGGAGCATAATGCCGTTTGTGATGCTTTAAAGGTTCGAGTGTTCTTTGTTCTTTGTTCTTTGTATGTTCTAAGTTAGAAATCACTACTCTCCACCATCCACAATATATATGATATTGTCCACTTTGAGCAGAAGGAAGATCCAGATTTGGAGGATGAAGATTTGTATCGACATGCAAGGCTCGTGACTTCGGCTGTGATTGCTAAAGTTCATACCATTGATTGGACTGTTGAGCTTCTCAAGACTGACACTTTGCTTGCAGGAATGCGTGGCAACTGGTATAACCCTTCTCGATCTAGATGTCAAAAGTTTAAATTAATCTATTACATATACGATAATTTATTTGTTACGTCGGGTCACTACTTTCGTTATCTATTGTTCGTGATGAGAATACTATCAATGTGAGATCCCGTATCAGTTGGAGAGGAAAACTAATCATTCAATATAAAGATGTGGAAACCTCTCCCTAATAGATGCTTTTTACAAACATAAGGCGGATAGTAATACGTAATGGGTCAAAATAAATGAGTTTGAGCTATTGCATAAATTTTAATAATTTAAGGACCAAAATAAATTTTTTGATTAGGTAAAAAAATAAATTATGTATATATCATTATATATTGCTTATGGTTGGTTTAATTTTATAAGGTATGGATTATTGGGGAAGAAATTCAAAGACACGTTTGGGCACGTTGGAGGAGCCATTTTGGGAGGTTTAGTGGGTTTGAAAAAGCCCGATAATCACGGTGTCCCATATTCCTTGACGGAAGAATTTACCAGTGTCTATCGCATGCACCCACTCTTACCTGATGATTTCCACCGTAGAGATGTCTCGGTTGAACCCGATCACAACAAATCTCCACCGTTGATTGAAACGTACCTAGTTTTGTCATTTTTCATATAACATCAATGATTTGAGCAATTATTGCGAATGTTTCATCTAATTTTAATAGATTTTTCTTTTTTGTTTGAATAGAGTGCCAATGGGGAATATGATTGGGCTCAAAGGAGAACAGGCCTCAAAGGAGATGGGCTTTACGGCCCTATTAGTTTCAATGGGCCATCAATCCAGTGGAGCCCTAGAGCTATGGAATTATCCAGTGTGGCTCAGGGATCTCATAGCCCATGACATGGACGGCAAGGATAGGCCCGATCATGTTGACCTTGCAGCCCTTGAAAGTATTGACCGAATCACAACCCTTTATTTCTCTTGATCTAATATGAACCGTTGGTTTTCATCATGATGGAGTTAATTTTGTGGTGGTAAATTCAATTTCATTTTGCAGTTTACCGGGACAGAGAGAGAAAAATTGCTAGGTATAATGACTTCCGCAGGGGATTATTTCTCATTCCAATCTCCAAGTGGGAAGATCTAACGGACGATAAAGAAGCGATTGAAGTGCTTCGTGACGTGTACAATGATGATGTGGAGAAGCTCGATATTTTGGTGGGGTTGATGGCAGAGAAAAAAATTAAGGGCTTTGCTATTAGCGAGACTGCTTTTGTCATTTTCTTGCTCATGGCTTCTAGGTAAACTAAACCGAACTTTTTACCTATTTATCCTAGTCAAATTACAAATCACGAGCATGATAAAAACGATTTTAGAAGGATAAAAATGGGCGTTCTAATTGAATGAGAACCAAAAATGTTATCAAACGTGCATGTATTCAACTAACTCGAGAAAACAAAAACCGTAAAAATGCAGGAGGCTAGAAGCAGATAAGTTCTTCACGAGTCATTTCAACGAAGAAACATACACAAAGAAGGGATTGGAATGGGTGAACTCAACCGAGAGTTTGAAAGATGTTATAGAAAGACATGAACCCGAGATTTCAAAGAAATGGATGAACTCATCAAGTGCTTTCTCGGTTTGGGATTCTCCTCCCAACACTCCCAACCCTATTCCTATTTACCTTCGTCTTCCTCGTTGATTCTCCGTATTCGTGTTCATCGATTCATGTATGGTATTGTATTCTTCATGTTTTTCATCTCAAATTTGGATTTTGATTCTTATATTTCTGGAACAAGACTAGTTCTTGTTTTAACGAGTATTTGGTCTGTTAGATCCGATACTAGTTGAAAACTATCGAGTTAAATTAAGAACCGTTGCTAAATTTTTTTGTTACGAGTATTGACCACGTTGACGTGCTCTATACAAATTGTTTTGTGTATCGACTTTTGTATATAGTCCCAAAATTCGTATATCAACGAAACATTATTCGACTTAGAACATGAAATTATTTTGTTACGAATCCATGGCGGCCTACTTTCTCATGACTGCCATCAACAAATCACTCCAAGCATCAATGGGGCCTGGCATGCACCAATGCACACAGTCATTGTACCCTCTCATCCATTTGTTACCCCAAAACTCCCCAGGGTGCCCGTCCCCTCTCATCATCATAGCCATCGTCACGTCGATCGCCTTGAATCTCCTTCCTGTTGTCGTCTCCCCTTCTCGGTTCGCCTTTTCCATCTCTTCTATTTGAATATCCCTTAGCTTCCAATCAAAGCTCTCAAAATCAATCTCTTTCGCACTCAACGGGCTCGTTCTATTGCAATACCCACCTGTATTCCAAATCCCATCCTCAAAATGGGCGGGCGAGAATGTCCTTACAAATGTTACCAACTTACCACAGCTCTTGCAATCATTGATGTACTTAAAAGCAACTCGCAAAGCCATTTTCAAGGCGAAGTCGGGATTGTGAGTTGTGATATTTGGATCGTTGCAGTAGACGCAGTCGACAATGTTGGTACCTTCATGCAAGTACAACGGTCGGAAGAACCAATGGCCACTGGAGATAATCGCGTAGTCAATATCGGGTAGGTGTCGTGTCCAGCCATCATCGAGCTTGTCGAGTTGCAGGTCGAAAACGCCCGTTCCTGTCCCGTTCACAACTCTCTCCTTCCCAGCAACAAGGAATTTAGTCCAAAGCATGATGAGGGTCAGCTCAGTCTTCGGAAAATACCATCTTCTAAACCTATCCTCAGAGTCTTTGTAAACATCTTGTGGAGTTTCTACCTATAAAATTCCCCAAGTTTTAAGAACATAATTAAAAGCTTAATTAATTAAGGTTTATTAATTAATTCAAAATTGTGCTTTATTTAATTAAATTTCTACATTGACCGGAGATTCCTCAGCCACCCCGAAACTAAGGAAACCGTTCATGTTTTTGTGTCTTGAATTTTTGGTTTTTTTTTTTATCAATTTATTGCTGTAATTTTTATTTTTCCCATAAATAAATATTTTACTATTTTTTTTTTGTGGGTTGATATTTTTCCATAAAACAATGGATTATATTAAAATAAAAAAACTTACATTGAAAAAGAAAATTATTGCCAAAATTGCAATGGGAATATGGTAAAATTCAACCCCTAATTTTGGAAAGTGATTATATTAAATGAAACATCATTAACAAAAGCCACACAAATATTGACCTTATTCCCATTATTGAAAATGTTTTTTTTAAAAAAGAAAAATTAAAAATCTTGACCATTTTTCTTTTTTAATATTTTTTTTAATGGTCCAAAATTATATACAAATTTGGAAACAATTAGAATAAAAAAATAAAAAAATCTGAGCAAAATAAAAGAAACGTTCAGGTACCCACAACCATCCATGGTTTTGAGCCCATGAATTCATCCATGGAGGAACAGAGTTTCCCTAATAATAACAATCCCTCAAAACCACCACTAATTTCATTCGACAATCAAAAGTTGGGCAGAAAAACAGAGAGATTGAGAAAGAAAGAGATGGAAGGAACCTGTGATAAGATGCAGAGAAGAGATTCCATGTGATTTCTGGAAACAGAGTCGCCGATAAATGCGAGTTTCTTCCCACGAAGAAGGTGAAGAAACGCCGTTGGATCAAACCGAGAAAGCTCGCATTCATCTGGCTTCCATCTCCAGTTCACAAAATCCATATCCTTTCTCCCCTGTTTGAAGCAATTTTTTGATTCTGGAATGGTGGGGCAGCTCCAATTGGTGTACATCCCCGCCCCTCTTGCCTCCTCTACCCAATGCCCTTTGAATAAATTGCACCTCTGTTTCTCTGCATGAACAGAGCATACCCTTAATTTAAGAATTCAACGTAAGAATTAATGGAAATGGAGAAATGGGTTTTGGGATTTGGAGTTTGATTGTTACCTTTCAGAAGCTTTGGACCAAGAACTAGAAATGGGTTTCGAGGAGTAATGACGAAGAAGAAGAAAGTAACAATGGCGATCATTCCTAAGAATGACCATAACAGAGGACCAATCCAACTCCATCTCTCCCTCTGCAAATTGCGATTAGGATTGGATTTCTTTGCCAAATGAGAGTTTGAGAATCTCATGGCGTTCCAGCATGAAGAAACAGAGAGAGTTGAGTATGAACTGTATGGGTTTTGTGAAACTCTCAAATCTATGCTTCTATAAGAAAATTACATCCAAAATGGGAAACTTTTATTACAAGCCATCACAGCAACAATACGTAAAACTCTTTAATAACTACTCGTTTTTCCAGCCTCTCTCAATCATGGCATCTTTCTCTCTCTCTCTTTCTCTCTACAATTTCAGAAACAGAGTTCCTCCAAAGGAAGGGAAGGGAAGGCACAGCAAAGCCGAAGATGTGATTTCAATCATGTAGCATGTGATTGCAACACGCATAATGCCATAAAGACCTTGACGAATTTCATGTGATTCGTGGACCATACACAATAAAATACCCTAATTTCTGCAGAAGAAAACCTGAAGGAGAATTATCATTTGGACATGGGAATTCCAAAAAGAGAAACATTGTTCAGCATCAGAACCATCAATCAGAACAAGCTTAAGCCATTTTGTTTCCGATTAGTAATGGTGTTATGGAAAAACAGAGTGAGAAAAAGAGTTCATGAGCAAGAGAGAAAAGGGATCTGTGTATTACTATGAATAAAGAGTGTAAAAGAGAACCTAACAGTAAGAATGAAGTAATAACTACATATGTAAGGGAGAACACAGCTTTGAGTATCACTGACAAAGGCCGGCCACAACCTCCAAAAGTTCTTACATCCACTTCTGTTTCCAAGGTGAAGGTGTCTGAATGGACGGCAATCGACCACATGTCGGACGCCATTCATTAGCTTTCTACACAGCAACTTCCTTTAGCTTTGCTTTCTATTAAGTTAGATATTTACACAAATGAAACCTTGTCTGCTTTTTAGTGAAACGAATCTGTCGAAATGTGTCCACCACAGAGAAAAATTCAGCTGCCTGAAAACCAGCGATGTTGCTGCAACATTTGAGAGGGAACAGTACGCCAGCCCCAACATAAACAGTTTTTTTATTATTGGTGCCACTATTAGCACGTATACTGTGTTCTTTTTCTTGGTCTGTAATTCTTTGGCCTATCAAAAGAGCAGCCATAAAAAGGTTCAACATTCGGAAAAAGGTGAAGAAGAGCAGAGAGATACCATGAAAAATTAATTAAGAAAACACAACAATGAGAAAACGATTTGGAATATCACACATTCATCGATCAGGTTCAACAACTAAAAGAAAGATCAATTCTTTGGGATCCTTCCTTTGTTTAAAGGGAACGAACAGAGATAGAATCAGACCGATTCCCAAGCCCAGATAATGAAACTCTATAGCTTCACACATGATAAAACACACGCCATCCATTTCCCAAGTGGCAGATAGGTATAGATAAAATAAAAGTATGCACAATTTTATGCTTTTATGGGTTGTATTCAAAAGAGGGGCACAGCAGATGCAATAAAAGAGGTTCTAAATTGACTTCTCCATAACAGAAGCAAAAATTGGAGGCCATCGGATGCGGGTAGACTTGGACAAGTACTTGCCTCATAAACTTGCAGGATGTTTAAAAAAAAAAGCCAAGTTTATGGGAATGCATACTGAAATCCATACATATTCTACTAATATCTTAGCATGGTCCTTGGATACCACTCGGTTGTTTCTAATTTTCTGTTTTCAAATAAGTTTGAAGCTTCAAAAAATAGGAAATAGGAGAGTATTGTCACATGGGTCGGTAACAAAGTTTAATCAAAATAAATGAATATACAGAAAAGGCCCAACGGGGCACAGAAAACCACTTCAACTGGAATATAACATGGAAATATCATAATTACAAAAAGGATTAAAAAAAGACCATCCTGGAGGAATAGAAAACAAGAACAGTAAGTGAAAGGTTCCTACAAAAATGTGACCGGGAACATATCAAAGACAAACACAATTTTATGTTAGAGCTTTAAATGGAACGGGAAAAGGAAAACAAACTTAACTGGAGATGCAGTCATGTTCACTAAAGACTGAAAATAATGTGCCAAAATGTTCAATATTATAATATCAAGCGAAATGTAGAATTAGCATCATTTAGCAATTGTACGGAAGGAATGGGAAGAGTAAGCTCACCAGGACTTGGTTGGTGACCACAATGAAATGCTACTGCCCTCACTCATTGTTGTTTGTAGTTAAACCTAGCAGAACCATCTAAGCCACTGTCGGGTTCTTTTCTCTTGTGCATACCACCTATCTGAAACATCTTGAGCTGCTCATCAGCAAAAGGCTGCGTACTGGGAACTGAAAGTTGTCTCGATGCTAAAGGCAACTTTTCATCAAATCTTTCTTTATCTATAATCCCATGACCTGCATTAAGATCCAAACCCTGGCTTCCCCATTTTCCAATCTCAGGACCAACAGCACTACTTCCGGTTGGATAACTCATAATGAACGGCCTTGAATAAGGGGTAGGGGCTACCCCAGCTGGCCCTAATAAATGAGAAGTGATGGTAGGGAATCCAAGCGAACAGCCAGGGGATGAATCCATGTAAGATGTAGAACAACCTGAATAATTGTTCGATTGTACAGGAAAACTAGTTTCGAAAGGGAACCCAGAATAAGTAAAGGAGTTAGCAGGTGGAAATGCCAAAGCAGGAGAGGAAGAAAGCACTGGTGCACGATAAATTTCAGCAGTGAATCCTGTGCCTGTAGGGGGAGCAAATACTCTCTGAGATACAGCAGCAGGAACATAGCTTTGTTCTCCTCTACCTGGCAAGACTGATGGGATCGCCGTTAATGCTGAATATGAATTACCCTGAGGAAACAAAGAATAGAAGTTCCCAATTTCTCCAGAGTTCACCTTCATTCCAGGGAGAAGTGATGAAAATGGCATGTAGTTTTTATTCTGCTGACTGAGAGGTACTGTTTCTGCCCCCATTTCATCAAGGGAAGGACCATTGTTCAAATCGAAGTTTCTGGAGGCACTGAACCCACAATTCCCTAAACCACCAGAAACAAATGGCCTACTTGAAATGGGGAGCTCTAGCCTATTCCTGCCAATAGAACATGGGCCCACATCATGACTTTCATCAACTTTATTTAAATCAAGATCAAGTCCACCACCTCGATCACAAAGCCCTGGATCAACACTTGCTTTCCACGGTACATTTGACGACAAAGCAACTTCTTCTAGGAGTCTCTGGTCCGGCACGTTCAGGTCAAAGTCCAAAGGTGGGCGCCCCTCCTTGCTAGTGGTAGTAACAAGAGCATCACTCAAGCTGAGTGGCATTTCAAGATTTTTTCGTGGTTCAGCACGGCGAAAAGCACTTGTAGCAGCTGAACCCTTCCATCCAAGTTCAACTTTGTTTGCTAGGGAGTTCGCTGGTGGAACAACTGATCCTTTTGCAGCAGAAGCCACAGTAACTGAAACAGGGAAGCTTTCTGATGCTGAAGGGATGGAGAAAGGTGTGAAAATGGGCAGCTGAACAGAAGAGGAACTTCCAATAACATCGTCTTGTGTCGCATCATCCACAGAACAACCTTCATTTAAATCAAAATCCAGCTTTACCACTGTGTCTGACCTTGGAGCAGAAAGTGAAGGATTTGCACTAGTGACATGGTCTTTGGTTCCAGTCGACTCGGAAATATTTAAACTTAATTTCTCATCCTGATCATTTTCCGGTAAGGGAATGGCAGGAGATTCCACGTGCATAGAAACCCCACCACAACAATTATTAATGTCATCTGTTCTTCCCAAATCCTGTACTGCACAATCATCTTTCCGATCTAACAGAGGAGGAACCTGAATCATTGTCTGTTTCCCGATCTGATTAACATGAATTTCTGAGTTCACAATATTTGATTTTTTATCCTTAAATTCTGCATCACAAGAATTGGCATCAGGAACCATTGTAGCAGTCTCAATTTTTTCCTCCTGAGAGTCTGCGTGAATCTCAGGTATAGATGACAGTTTCTCTTCCATTCCACTGCCGCTATCTAAGTCTGCATGGGTCTGAACATCGCCACCACTTAATTGTGAAGATAAACTAGGCGTCTTTTCATCCAATTGCTTTTCCTCTTCGAGAGCTGATGTAGTTTTTACTTCTGATTTCAAAACCACTCCATTATCTGTCGCTCTGTCATCAGTTTGGTCCACTATTTCATTTTCACGGAGTTGGGTACACTCTTCTTGTACTAGAAGCGACCTTGATTGCCCTAGTTCATTTTGATCAGAAAGCTGATTTGTTTCCACAGTGTCTGTATTGCCTTCTTCCACACCGTATGAAGAACCAACAGCTACAGAGGCATTGCATTCTTCAGCACAAGGTTTTGTATCACAATTTGAAGGCGTCCTCTCCATGTTTTGCTGAGCATTTGATGGCGTAATATGTTCCCTTGAAGTGCCAAATGCAACACCTCTTCCATCTTTAGGAGAGTCAGCTGAGGTCGAGGCAGGATGAGATCCATTTCTATCATGCAACATGTTATTGCTGTCAAGAGGTTCAGAAGATGAGCGACCCCCAGCCTCACCATTAGCATCATCTTCATCACATTTAATATCTTCAGGCAAAATTTTCAATTGTCCATCATTGCCATCAGAAGATTCTTCTGCCATAGGTGATCGTTCCTGAGGAGAATCCAACGGCGATGCATTATTAGATTTAGATATTTCCCCAGTAGCCACACTCGCAAGAAGATTCATCCCTACAACATCCCCTGGTGATGATGATGTATTAGACTCGGAAAATTTAACACAGCTTTCAATCAAGGCATTTATGGGGCTTAGAGAAGCATCATAAGTTTTTCCAGGCCTAGATATAATTCCAGTCAATGAAGCATTGGTTTCTGATTGCCCTTCATTGGCCGCAGCAAGCCTGCCTCGTTCGTTGCTGGCAGCTACCTCTTTACCCTCCTCTGAGCTCTGAAATTGATCTTTCTTATGACATTGATCTGAGTTTACTTCAGTTGCAAAACTAGCCCCAAGCAAATCGCTTCTGCCTTTAGCTTTCTTTTCATGGTTATCACCTGCCTCATCATGAAGAGATCCTTTGTGACATGAAACAACTTGATCCTCTGTGACAACCCTAGTAGTTCCCAATGGATTTTTGCAGGTGTTCGGCAACTTTACAACAAGTCGACTATATCCATGTTCAACAAGTGACGCATCTGGAGATTTCTCATGTGATGCAGTAGAGGCCTTTTCAGAAGTCAAACTCTTGTTTAGGGCATTAAGTTTTCCAGACCCAGATACCTT